AACTTGTTTGATTTTTTGTTTTGTTTTTCTTCTGTTTTGTTTTCATTTCTCTTTTTTTTCTTTTTTTTCTTTCTTTTTCTTCTTTTTTATTTGTTTTTTTCTTTTTTTAATAACTCCGTCAGGTTCCAAAGAGGGTAATCAAAGAAAGGTAACCGACTCAAAGGGTTGACAAAAGGGTTAATGGTGTTTGGGTAGCGAGAATAAAAGCCTTCGTCATCCCAATCAGAGAACATTAATGCTACATAGAGGGTCGAACATAATACCTTTTGACTGCATCCGCGTTGACAGTTGTTTCAGGGACATTTCCTTCGATGTTTCCTAGGTACAACGCTCTCTTTTGGCAGCACTCTCGTTATAATGTATGGACCTTTCCAATTTTGAGCCAATTTTCTTTTAGCTTCTTCATGAGGTGGGAGGATACGTCTTAGGACGAGTTGTCCTATTCCAGATTTCCTGGCCGCACTTTCTTGTTATAGACACGAGCCATTATTTGTTGGTACAATTGCCCCTGGAAAACTGCGGCCATTTGTTTTTCATTAATCATAGTCAATTGTTCCAACCGGGTCTTGACTGATTCATTATCCTCGATCTCGGCTTCAACAATGATCCTAAGAGAGGGAATCTCAACTTCGTTCCCATTTTCTATTTATTTTCTTACAAGCCTTGTCTTCAAAACATTCTACTTCTTGATTAATTATTTAGAGGTCTGACAACGTCTTAGGATCTGGGCATGAAGTCCGCAAGCATGTCATGTGTTTAAAATCTGCATTAACAGAGCTGAAAAAAGAATAAGAAAGGTGACAAGATTAAGAAAAGAGACATTCCTTGACAATAAAATATTAATTTTATTTGATTTTTTAAAAAAATTTTAAAGATAGAAGGGTTTACATCAGAAAGTAAGACAATAGAAGTAAAACGTCCGGATTACACCCTGAAATAATCTGGACGCAGAAAGGATAGCAAGACTGGCTACCGAGACTCCCGTTTGAAGGGGGACTTTCAGGATTGGCAACCGTTTTTAGATTTTCTTCTGTCTCGGCAATGGCTGCAATGGCCTTCAGTGCCGGATCAAATTTCTCATTTTCACAGATCATTCAGACTATTGGCCCATTAGTGTGAGTAGGGAGAGGATTGTTCATCATATTAGGGGCCTATTCATCCCTAAGCATTATTGTCTTGACCTCGGTGAGGTCTTCCACTGCTCTCTTAAAAGTCCAACAGTCTTCTGTATCATATCTCACTATTCCAGAGTGGTATTCACATCTAATATTAGCCGGTGCGAAGGGAACTCGGGGCTTGGCCGGTTCGGGGCCACTACTGCAGCAGGCCTAGCTTGACTAGCTTTTGGAACAAGCTCGAGTATGATTCACCAATAGGGGTGAACTGATTCTTTCTGAAAGGCTCTCTTGGGCAAGGATTGTATTGGGGATCATTTGGTTGGGGGATTATATGGAGCTTGGTAAGAACGAGCATTTCTGGGAAGTGGATCTCCATTTTGTGTATAATGCAGTGGCCGTGTGTAAAGTTGCGCGTTCATCACCGCATAGGGAGGCGGTGCAACGACCTGTAATGTAGCCTTAAAGGCAGCATAACTCAAGATTCGACCCGTTTTTTAAACAATTTTCGATCATCTCCCCAATTTTGATAGCCTCGCCGAACGAATTACCCATAGCGGACATCGTGTTCTGGAAGTAGTCCGCCTCTTGGGCCTATTGGAAGACCGTAACCATTTCTGCTCCATCCATTTGAGTTTTTACCATGGTGGATTGTTCGCGCCATTTGACAGCATATTAACGGAAACTTTCCGTCGTTTTCTTTGTCAAACTGGATATAGAGTTCTCTTTTTGGATTTTCACTTTTGCTTTCTTTTTTTTTTCTTTGTTATTTTTGTCACACTTTTTTTTTTCTCTTCTTTTTTTTTCACTCAATTTATTTGATGGCAATGATCGAATCCGATGGGGATTACCTACGTATCATGACCCCAAATGAATCAGACCTTGCGTAGTTCGGGAGATCAGAAATAAAATAGATAAACTAACTTCCTTTTTCTTCATATACTAATCCGACAAAATCTCCTAGCAAAGAAAATATTTTAAAATATTTTTCCTTATTTTTTTGTTTTTTTTTAATTGGTGAAAGAAAATATTTTTGAATTTTGATTTGTTTTGTTTTGTAAATTTCAAAAGAAACAAAATATTTTTTTGGATTTTGATTTTGTTTTTTTTTTTGAATTTTGGGAGAAAGACATTTTTTTTAAGAAAAGGAAGAAAATATTTTTGGACTTTTGGTCGAAAAAAAAAACTTCTAAAGAAGGAATTAAAGGAAAATATCTTTTTGGATTTTTGAAAATTGGGGGCCGGAACCGATAGGGTTTGCCTACGTATCTCACATCCGGTGAGAATCAGACACGCGTAGTTCGGTCGGTGTTGACCTAATAGAAAAACATGATTTTTTTTTTTGGTTTTGTTTCAAAATATTTGGCTTATTTTTTAAATGACTCTTTTTTTTTTCAATATTTCCGCAGAGTTTCATGATTTTTCAAATACCTGGATTTTTCATAACCGGGTAAGTTTCTCTCTCCTCACTCTTGGTTTTTCTTGATTTTTTTTCTATTCTAGAAGATGGTCAACATGCAAGCCGAAACAAATAAGTGCACAAGTAACACGTTAAATGCATTAGGATGGTCTTTTGAATTGGGTACACCTGTCCTAGACAGACTCAACCCTTGTGTTGAGTCCCCAAAGTCAAATGCACGTGATGCAAACAAACATACCTACTAGGGATTCGACATGAGGTTTGTTCTTCTAGGTTTAAATCATGGTGGAGAAGATATCTAGACTGGCTTACTCGAGCGGACAACTCGAGCCGGGGTGGGTCAGCGTACCGGTAGCATTGCTTTCCGGCTTAGCTGGTGGTACTCCCCGCCTAAAATATGTGTGACTAAAATCCTTCACCGAGTGACAAGCACCTCGGTTATCTCAAAGAAAGCAGGTTATGTCAAGCAAATGCCCAATTTTTATTTTCAAGAAGACTTAGATGGGGTGCGGGAGAAGACAATTTATATGTATAGTTCAACAATATCTAAGCGGTAAAAAGCGAACAAGTAGCACATTAGGCACAAATAAATCGCAATATATACAAAATTAATAAATCCAAATAAAAAGTCAACATGTGCAAGCCCGAATTCTATTATCCCCAGCAGAGTCGCCAAAGCTGTCACACCCCTTGTTTTACCCAGCAAAAGATATGTATGTTTATGTGGATTGTGAATTAAAGAGTTTTTCCAATTAAGGTGACATTTTTGAAATAGGGATTATTTTGTTATTCAGAGTCGCCACTTGAAATTGATTTTTAGTGTTCCAAGTCACCTTTTATTTGAATCCCTAGTCAAAGGAAGGTTTGACTCTTTTATTATTGGTTTGCGAAAACAAAGTCCGGATAAGGAATTCTGTTGACCGGGGAGAAGGTGTAAGGCATTCCCCGAGTCCCGTGGTTCTAGCACAGTCGCTTTATTGACTTAAACTTAGCTTGAATATCTGAATTATTACATGTTTAAAACCTTGTATGCGTTACCGCTTCTATACCGCTTTTAATATTTATAGAATTTATTTAAATAAGTCACGATGCCGCGCACCTATTATTTTTTTTACACATTGCGAATCGCGTCACGTGAAGTGCACCCACGATTTACAACATGTTTATTTTTATTATTATTATTTGAAGTTATGATCGGGTCACATGGAATGCATACCCGAATTGGGGTTATATATCATGACTATACCACGTGAACCGTACCCATAGTCACGATGATTTATTTAATCTCACATTACTAGTAATAAAGTAGATAACGACCTTGTTTGCATATTTAACAACGATTATAGCTACAATTATTTAATCATTTCAGTAATGAAACAATTCATCAATTTCTCTAAAGCAATACATAAAAGGTCTGCAGCGTTTTATTTAATCACTTTGTTTAATAACCAAAATTTGTGATTCAAGTAATTGCTAATTAACAAACCCAACTATTTCCTTACTAGGACAAATCCCCTTTTAGTATATTACCCATTTAAAACAACTGAAAATCAAAACTTTTTATTCTAATTAAACTCAAAACTTAAATGTTGTCCAAATTCATTCACAATGAGGCATCATGAATTCATCAAGAATGCATTAACAGAACCCAAACAAAACACATGGAAAAGATTCATGAACAAACAAAAGTTTTAGGAAAGGTAAGAATGAACCTTTATACTCAGCAAATAACCTTCTTCAATAGATCAAAACGCAAAGCTTCCAACGTAATCAAAATATATGAATCCCAGAGATTACAACTCGGATAAAGAACTCGAACAAGACCCACGGCAGGAGCACTCGAACAACGACCTCCACGATTTTGATAAAAGAAAGGAAATTGGGTTCCGTTCGGGTGATTTTCGGACTGTTTCATGGAGGCTTCAAGCAAGTTTCATGGCTGCGTACGGAGATCCATTTTGGAGCTCGGTTCATGGTTGTTTATTTTGGAAAAGTTTGGGGCAGGTTTCATGGCAGTTTTCGGCGTTTTTTGGGCTGGATTTTGCTGCTTTTTGGACTGATTTCATGGCTTCTAAATAGCTGATTTTGCAGCAGCTATGGTGTTTTATTGAGATGGTTTATGGACTGGTTTTGAGAGCTGGTTTGGAGGTATTTTTGGGGTTACTTTCAGCTGATTTTTCATGCTGATTTGGCGTGATTTTGGGGAAAGTTCAGGATGGTTTTAAGGACTGATTCATGAAGGGGTTTAGAGGGGGTTACGCTGTGGCATTTTGGGTTGTTCGGAAATGTTTTGGGGGTGGTTTGAGGGCAGTTTTTGGAGCTGTTTAAAGCTGGGTTTTGGGGGGGATTTTTAGGATGGTTTAATGCTGATTTTTTTGGGCGAAGACTATGAGCTTTGTATAGCTATCAAAATGGCTGAAGGTGCTGGAGTTGTGGCTGATTTTGGGTATGGGGTTTGTGAGTCGGGAATAATAGTCTGATTATTGCAGGAAATCCCCAACTCTAGAGAGAGTTTATCACGATATCTCAGCATAATGAGACGAGAATATAGTATGAACGGTCAGTTCTCTTCCTCTTTTATGTTTTCCTTTCACTTTAGAGGTATGTGGATCAGTGGGTCATAGTTAATCTGTTCTTCATTTTCTATAATCAGGAACAGAAACAATACGAATGAGGTATTCGGAAGTGCATCCAATACTTTCACTCCTTCACAAGGAATTCCAGAAATAGAACAATTAACAAGACTGCTGTCGTCCACTAGGGATACGCTTATTAGCCAAACTGCACAGCGCTTTCTCGTAAGTGCTTGCTCCTGCTTATGTTTTATTAACTGCTCTCCAATTCCTTCAAATGTTCTAAGATCAGCCGAACATTTTTGACTGGTGGGAGTTTCTGTGTTGGCATAGGAATTGGAAAGGGATCTGCGCCAAAATCTGAACGTGAGTTATCCGAGGGTGCGCCAGGGAACCCAGTCAAATGCACAGACAACAATTGGAACAATGTTCAACAATCTAGGTGCATATATTTTTGAACTTGGCCGTGCAGTGATGGGAGTCCGAATGGGTGACAATGGGGTATTATACTTTGCTCTCTACTAAATGGATTAGTTTTTCTCTTAATAACATGATCATGTCTGTTATCATTTTCAGAGTACTGCCGTAGTTAATGCTGGGCCTGCAGTCTATATAACCGACTCGGGTCCACTGTCCATCCAGGTAGCCTCGTCATTGTTCCTCTACTAAAACCAAATCTATATCTGACAATTAAACTTTGTAAATCCAACGTTCTGTCCGTCAACAGGAAGAACTTTATTCTGTGCTGCTCTTAACAATACACAGGCTGATCAACTCTGGTTTAGTAAATGATAATGATACGAGGCTGCACCAGAGGCAGGTTGGTACACAAATGATAGGAGGTTTGTTACGTAGGTAGTTCATAAGATTTGACATTATTTCTGTACGCTATCTAGCAGGCAAATGAGCAAGGTAAGATGAACGCGTAGTTTTATGTGCACCATAAATAGAAATGAAATAATATAGTTCACTTGTGAAATTATTACTTACTAGTTTCTCCATTTAGACTCATCTCTTGGTCAATGCTTATTATACAAAATAAAAATATCAGTTTCAATATCAAGTTTTTTTTTTCTTCTTTTTAAATCAAGGAAAAAAAGTGTCAGTGGCTGTAAAGAAGTTAAGAGCTAAGTTGGATTGACTAACAACTAGAAGAGGTATTCAAAATAGAAATCTTGAAGATGCATTGGCGTTTTACTGCTATAAAAAGGGATAAAAGCATCTAGATCTCGTCGAGTCCCTGAATTTGGTTTAAAATATTTCTCAAAGATGATTCTATGATCTTTATTCTTAATTAGGAAGACAAGCATCCAATATGCTACGAGTCAGATACACCAGATACTTTCTTAGACCCATAGTTGCCACAGCTGATCAAAGTGAAGTTCAGGTGCCACCAGGAAGTAGCGTACCAACGGAAGTTAGCCAATTTTTGAGAAGTATGTTCCTCAGTGGTGAAGTTCAAGCTGCTACACCTGCAGGTGCAACTGTGAATAACGTCGTTGACAACGCAGGGATATTAGGTGTATCTTCTGGACCATCAATTATAGAACCAAGAAGTGCTCATGAATCAGCTGGTGAAGTAAGTGTATTTTGCACCTTGAATGTTAAATAGTACAATCTTATGCTCTACACTTACGCAACTAGCATAGACTCAGCTTTCAGTCTATGCATCGACGTGTTTGTGCAGCCTGCTAATGAAGATGTTGGGACCTCTCATCGACAAACAGCTGATTTTGCTGAAAGCCCATCACATGCAAAACGACAAAGGGTATTACTATACAATTTAAGTTTTCCTGTCCATTATGCAGGCAGTTTGAGTTCTTTCATCCTCTCTACGTAAGACCTCTTCCTGTTGCTTCCACATAGAACCTTATAATTTAAGGAAGAAGAAAACAAGGTAACATAAGAAAGTGGCATAATTTCAAACTGTCTCAACTTCAAACAAAATAATAGTACAAGTTTCAGTATGACTAACTCCTCCTTAAATCCATTGACCATTGGCGGAGGCAGGAATTTCGGTAAGGGGATTCACAAAAATACAAAAATGGCATACTTGGTATTTGAACTATGACATATGTAATCTTTGAACTCCCTTTACCACTAATTTAGAAGTTTCTCTTATGTCAAGGGATTATATAAAAAAAAAAATATTTTTACCTTTGTATAATAGGAGGATTCGCCCTTGCCTTTGACATAGGAGTGCTGTAGCTTTTAACTTGAATATTCCCTTAGTTTTCCTATGGACATGTATATTTAAGTGGATGTGTATTCTTATAAATAAAAGTTTTACCAGTGATTCACAGCAACTATTCATATATTGTTAAATATTCAAGAAGATGTTAAACCTTTCAATTAGATTCCGATACATCAGAGGATATATGGAATATTTGGATTCATTTGTGTTAACTTCTTATTGATTTGGAGAAAACGTATGACAAAAGGTTCCTAGAGAGGTTCCATGGAGTTGTCCGGAGGCAAAAGGTGTGTCGGTTGCTTACATTAGGGTGGTTAAGGACATGTATGATGGAGCTAAGATTCGGGTTAGGACAGTGGGAGGCGACTCAGAGCATTTTCCGGTTGTTATGGGGTTACACCAAGGGTCTGCACTAAGCCCATTCCTATTTACCCTGGTGATGGATGCACTGACACACCATATTTAAGGGGGTGGCATGGTGTATATTATTTGCTGAAGACATAGTTCTGATTGATGAGATGCGAGGCGACATCAACGAGAAGCTGGAGGTTTGGAGACAGACCCTTGAGTCTAAGGGTTTCAAGTTGAGCAGGACTAAGATGGAATACCTAGAGTGCAAGTTCACCGTCGAGCCGATAGAAGCAGGAGTGGACTTGAGGCTTGAATCACAGGTCATCCCCAAAAGGAGCAGTTTCAAGTATCTTGGGTCGGTTATACAGGGGGATGGAGAGATCGACGAGGATGTCATATACCGTATGGAGGTTAGCGTCTGGAGTCATGTGTGACAAGAAAGTGTCATCGATATTCAAAGGTAAGTTTTATAGAGCGGTAGTTAGACCCGCTATGTTGTATGGGGCTGAGCGTTGGCCAGTTAAGAACTCACATATCCAAAAGATGAAAGTAGCAGAAATGAGGATGTTGAGGTGGATGTGCGGGCACACTAAGATGGATAAGATTAGGAATGAAGATATTCGGGAGAAGGTGGGTGTGGCCCCTATGGATGACAAGTTGCGGGAAGCAACGCTCAGATGGTTCGGGCACGTTCAAAGGAGAAACCCAAATGCCCCGGTAAGGAGGTGTGAGCGGATGGCTTTGGTAGATACGAGGAGAGGTAGAGGGCGGCCTAAGAAGTATTGGGGAGAGGTGATCAGACAGGACATGTCGTGACTTCAGATTATCGAGGACATGGCTCAAGACAGGAAGTTGTGGAAGTCGAGCATTAAGGTTATAGGTTAGGAGGTAGTTGTGCATATTTCTATGGCACACCAGAGTGAGGCTAGTCTGTTAGAATTTAGTCTTAGACTGCTAGTGGTTAAGGTTGAGTTCACATTACTCTTTCGTTCCTCTTAGTGCCATACTTTATCTACTGGTTATTGTTTTGCTTTTTATCTATTTTCTGGTTCTTGCGATGCTGTTATTTTTTTTTTTGTTTTATTGACGGTACTGATATATTGTATTTTTCATCTTCTTGAGCCAAGGGTCTATCGGAAACAACCTCTCTACCCCTCGGGGTTGGGGTAACGTCTGCGTACATACTACCATCCCCAGATCCCACTAGTGAAATTTCACTGGGTCGTTATTGTTGTTGTTGTTGTTGTGTTAACTTGTGATTATGGTAGGTGCTGAACATACTTATTAATTTAGTTTTTGGTTGCTGTTTTTTGACACAGATGGAGTGATGCCTTTGTTGTGGGAGCCTATTTTGTTGTAGTACATCATGTGTTTGGGGTATGATCAGCTGGCGACAAGATATTGCCAATTACTAATAGATAGTTAAATCATTCTTCAGCTCTGTGGAACTTTGTAGTTATTTTCTTGTCTGTTTTGTGACGATTTTTTACTGGATCGATCTTCCCTTAAAAACTTATGACAAAGGATTTTAAGCTTTCTGCTCATTGGTGTTGTCTTTTCATGATTTACGCTTTTACATATGTTGCCTTCAGATTATATAGTAGGAAATATATATATTAAAATTAAAATTAAAATACGTACAAGGATAGAGTGTAAGAATATTCACAGTTTCATGATATATTCCGTCAGTTTAGCTTGTTGAAACCTCAATTGTTTCCTTTTAAATAGTGATTTATTTGGTTTCATTGCACTCAATGGTAGAAAAAGGCAAAAGCTTCTTTTACAATATTACAGTAGGTAACACTAGGGTGAGACCTATCCTCTAAAATCTATTTGTCTTTCTTTATACCAAGGAAAGAAAAAGGTTACTTCCGGATCAGGAATAATAAATAAAATTGAAACAAGATTTAATTTTATACCAAAACGACTTCTGGCATCACTAGAATCTATGATCTAAGGTTTGCGGAGGTAAGAAAAGGTGTCCATAACTTGCTTCATCTGGTTATATTATATTATATTACTTAAACTTTCCTGCAATTACATTTTATGTGAATAAATTGTACAAAAAACATTTATACGATCACGTCTCTAAAAAAGTAAGTAATTATTTTGGTTATAAACTGCTACCATGCATTCATTTGTTTCTTTTTCTGGCCATCCTCATTATACTAATCTGCATACCGGATTCATAAACAAACGAGAAGCACAATCTAATATTGTTTTCCTTTTATGCATGGTAAATGCATAAAAGGAAAGATAATCAAACTTATAGTGTATTGAATTAATTATATGGTGTAGATATATAAGTGCTATCTATTGGTAGCAATTTGGGTTCAACTTGGTTTCACTGAAAAGCTGTAGTGAAGTCAGTAAGTTGGGAATTGGAAGAACGCAAGAGCTTAATAAACACACAAGAAAACAATTATTTTTGTTACATTTCACATTACAAAGTCTAAATACTTCATACTACCAATACCGAAAAAACTAGTCTGATATTTTCTTTTTTATGCTTGGAACAAAGGAATATGAAACAGAACTAAAATTCATCAATTATGAAATTAAAAAAAGATTAGATAAAGTTTTTAACTATATCTGATCAAACTTTTTGTGGCGCTTTCTACTCCAATAGTACTCCTTAGGCGAGATCAAGCTCTCCACATAATTAATGGTGTAACACATAGATACTTTCTCTCCACGAAGTTGAAGGTTTTGCGTATCATCATTCTTCGGATTGTATACAACAAATTTTTCTTCAAGATCATTTATCTCCAAAACTACTACTCCAGAAAAAGGGCATTACAATTCCATAAAAAGGATTTATTTCTAAATTCCATATGAAAAATAATAATGTCCATGATTCCTTTACTCCATATTCCTTCATGACCAATATCTCAACACTCCCCTTATCATCTTTCAAGCAAGCCATACTTAGACATTCATTTAAAACTCCTAAACCAACTAAAGCATTCTCTTCTTGATCAGGCTTAGGCTCTGGGACGGGAAACATGTGGAATTTTTCAGAGATAGGATCAAAATAAATTATTTCTTTACAAGGACCAAAACTATCCCACATAACCCTTACTCTGTAGTGAAGTTGCAAGACATAGTGATCGCTCCTTGCCGTCGTTGAATCGAGAGCTGGAATTTTGGGCTTGAAATCCAAGAATGCCATTGCCTAGAAACACACTTGAAGCGTAACAGGGATTTCACGGGTAAATTTGAGAGAATATCCATAGTGATTTCGCTGGATAGATATACCACTAGCTTTTTTCGTTTTTGAAATGAACGTTTGTTTCTTTGGCTTTCCATCAAGGAAAGGCTGTGTCAATTTTACCCTACTAAACCATAACTTCTCAGTTCTATGGAAGACGTTAGTAACTGCTATATCACTATAACCAATATTTGGAAAAAAAAAGTAATTGACGGAGAAGATAGTTTATTATAAATCTCTAAAAAGATCTCAACAATTCTCCACTTCTTCACACATTCTCTATAATTCTTCATACAATTTTTCACACTTAAAATAAGCTAGCAATACCCCTATTTATAATAGTATGAAACCTATTTTAGCTAGAATTAGAAAAACTTATTCCTATATTAATTTGACTACAAATCCTAATAAACATGAATTAAATAAGCAAATGGGAGCGTACTACTCTTTGTTTCTTTTAGAATTAACTTATATGTTTGACAACATAAACAGAATAAATTACACTATCATCAGGATTTAGGATTTGGAGGTTGAAGGTAATACCATACTACTTCGGGCATCGGTTTCATTTATTTTTTCAGCTTTGATTAAGGTTATTTTTTCGATAAATAAAATCAAACGAAATAATTTAATAAATTTGACAACTTGGAACAAAGCAGTAAACATCAATAGTACTACTAATATCAACAAAAATATATAATTTATTTACTATTGTGTTCGATGAGTTTTCATATTCTAAAACTATCGTCTGACTTAACGATGAACTACTAGGAAAAGATGGACAACTAGAACTAAAATTTGCTATAAATGCATATTTTGATACTCAAAGAAAAAACTTAATAAATACGTTAAACTTTAAAATAGAAGCAAGAATTTATAAAATTTAAAAAGTAAGTAGAAACTATAAGGAAAAATTTACTTATAAGAATTTATCTATACTATATTAAAAGCACGAAGGCCCTTAGCGAAATGTCATTCGCCTTTTTTACCTTTAAAAATAGATTTCGCACTAGACAAAAATATAATTTAACTTGTTCTCTAATTTTTAGGAGTTCTAAATTAACTAAACTTTTAAATATAATTAAATCTTTTCCTTATCTGAATATGTAGAAAGTCCCGAAGTAAAATCGATTAGAACTTTACTTTATATAAACTATTTCCTTATTTTGACAAGTTAACATAATTATAACCTTCCATGTTAATTTTCCAATATTTATTTTCAGAATAGACAAATAAAGAAAAGAAAATGAAAAAGAAAAGAAGAACAGAAACAAACAGGTTTGCCTGTTTTAACTCCTTCGGGATTGCACTTTTTTACTTATTCAATTTTTTTGTTTTCTTCTCGCTTATTATTGTTATTTCTTTTTGTCGTTGATTTTACAAAACTTAATTTAAGTGAAAAGTTAAAGGAAAAAAAAACAAAATTAAGAGTTTTACATATACATATACTTTCGGAATTCACTTACTTTATTTTCTTTTTACGTAAGCATTGACAGTTAAAATAATTGCAACAAAAAATAAAAACTACGTAATAAAATATGTTTATAAAATTAACTAAATAATGGAGTACAACAGAAAGGACAACTTAGTCAAACGATAACTTTTTACTATTATGATAAATAGATTAAAAGTATTGTTATAAAAAAATTAAATAAAGGTGATAAATATAATATCGTAAATCACAAGGGAGATTAGTGTTACAAAGTCAAATATGAGAGAATATCTCTAAAATTATCTCTTTTTATTGATTATTTAAATTATATAGAAAGTCTTAATATTTAAGAATTTAAAATCAATAAAAAGTTTAATTACTTAAAACAGTATTATTTTTTTATTTGAATAATTATTTCATAACTACAATTGCTTCCATGTTATCCATGTAAAGTAAATATAAAAGCTATAATTTGAATCAACAAGAAAACTTTCCTCTACTATTGAAAATTAATTGTTAAGTCTTTGATTAACTAATAAGCGAAAAATCCATATCAAATCCTTTTCAAAATTCATCATATAAATAATTTATTTTTAAGCTTACAAAACTCTATATAAATTTATTTTCATAAGAGAAGCATTACCGTGAAAGAATTCAAAAATAGAGTTAAATTGATTATAATATAACTTTAAGAGTAAAATTGGTAAGAGATACAATTTTGAAGCAATAAGAATGAAATACTAGAAGATAGAATGTATATACAATTTTGAAGCAATAAGAATGAAATACTAGAAGATAGAATGTATCTTAGTGAGGTATCATTAACTATTTTTCTTTTTCTTTGCATTCATATCAACAAATGACAATTCCCTACATCATTTTTAGACTCATTTTCACTTAGCAATATTTTTCTAGGAGCTACATTGCCAATCGTTTCATTCTCATATCTTAAGAGACAAAAGTTTACTTTTAAAATTTTCGTAAGAAATTCCTACATAAGTTCTCAAAAATCATAATAAAGCATTGATGACTTTATCTAACTAGCTAAGTAGGATCATTATTCGTTTTTAGGAATTGAACTTATATTTTTTGTAATTTCTATTTTATAACTCAAACACATTGTTTATATAATTTTTAAAAATTATGTTCTCATTAATATAAAATACATGCGCAAAGCGCATACCCTAAAACTAGTAAGTAAAAAAGAGGCAGCAGCTACAAAGAAAGAAAAGAATAAACAAGGAAAATTGAAGAAAAACCAAATCAGAAAAGAAAAGAAGAAAAACGAGAACGCTTAAAACATATGAAATATCAACTCTTCATACCTTTTGATTTCATACATCCTCGTGCAACACCATTATCACTATTCTCTTTACTTGAAAAATGAAATCATATATTTAGAAATGCTTGTAGAGAGTGGAGTTGGCGTCTTCCTCAACTACAACAACAACAACAATCCAGAAAAATCCCAGAAGTAAGGGGTATGAGGAAGGTAGTGTGTACGCAGACCTTACCCCTACCCATAGAGTAGAGAGGTTGTTTTTGATAGACCACCGGCTCAAGAAAACGAAAAAAGACGAAAGAGACAATTTATCAGTACCATCAACAGAAACTATAGAAATAATAAAGCATTACCAAAAACCAAAAAACAGTTGAAACGCAATACAATAACCAGTAAAGAAAAATGGAAGAATAGTGAGAACACAACATAAACCACTAAAAAAATACATTCTTCAAAAGGTTTCTCTCTCTATC